ATACATATATAAGTTTATATATTTATATAATAATTTACACATATATCTAATATACTCATAATATTATATATTTGACTAAATTATAATGTGACCTATTTTTTAAACTTACATAAAATCCAACTGTTTTATATATTTAACATTATTCAGAAAATATTATAATATACTTAGGTTTGAACCGAAGTCAAAAAAACGAAAATTGGACTAGATCACACTTTGCATAGATCGACTGGTTATGACACAAGAATGGCGATTGAGTGGAACCCGATGGGTCAGAAGAAAGGGCAGACCTGCACACACTTGGAGAAGGCAAATTGATATGGAAATGTCACACATGCGGAAAAGTTGGGGAGAGTTGAAGCCACTAGCTAACAATCGTACCGAGTGGAAGATATTTGTTGCGGCCCTATGCTTAAGGATTCAATATATATATACATATATACTTATGTTTGAAACTTCCATCTATTTAAAAAATATTTAGAAAAATATAATGAACGACAATATTCATAAAATATTTATTTTTATTAATTTTATTGTTTTGATTTTCAAGAATTTCTTGTCATTAAATAAAATTTTCTTGTATAAATTATATATATGCATATTTTAATTGAACAGTAAATTAATTGTGAACATTTTAAGGACGACTAAAATCGAACCCTATTTATTTCATACAAAAATTGAGGAGTTATACCAAATTAAAAGGTATGTAAAACTGATAAATATTGAATAATCATGACCTGGAGTCAAATTTTTTCAAACTCTTCGCATCTATCATCCAAAGCTGGACCCAGATAGATGTTCTCAATTTACTTAATGTTCTTAGATTCATGGAAACCGTATTTTTAAACGTCTTATAAGACAAAAATAATTAAAACACTAGAATGTGGTATATTAGACAAACCTGCTACGAAAAACCAAACGCTTTCCTATATTGAACAAAGAGGAGTCAATCTGTTTACATGCCTTTAAGAACATTGAAACATTAATATGCACGAGAGTAGATTGAGTGCTAAGAATTTGTGTTGAAACAGTTTGGATGAGAGCATGGTGGAAAATATTGAACAGTTATGTCATTGTTCGGCTCTCTCCAGACAAAAAAATCAAGTCTTAAACGTATCTCTCCATTGAGGAAATTGTATAAATGGTTGCTTTTTAATATTTTAGTAGAGGTCGTTGAGGATGTGATATAAAGGATAATATAATAAATACTATATGTCTGGGACCCCAGACATATGTATGTGAACCAAATACTTCCTATGTTTGGTACTATCAAAATATTATTTCAAAATATGAGTATAATATCCCACTGTTTTAGACTACAATCTTTATGAATGGGTATTTAGTAAATTAATACTTGAGTTCAAGTAAATATATGTTGATCAAATCTTCAGTTGTGTATAAGATAAATCGATATGATTTTTTCAAATATTGTAAACAATTAAAAGTCTTGTAATTTAGTGGGACTTTATTAACTTTACTTAAACTATAACTTTTTGTTACATATAATTTTTTTCTTTAATAGTATTATCAACCAATATGTATTCCAATGTGGCGCACTATTGTTCTGAAGTTCGCATTGGTAATTGGTTTGAAGATATATGTCGCGAACGTGTGAGTATAACATTTTCAATTTACACATTAACAATAAGATTATTTGTTGGTTAAAATATAGGAGAAATATCAAAATTTCAAAAGTGCTCGTGACACTGGTCAGCTTATGGTTGAAAAAACTCGTCAGCTTTTTGACAATTTTCTGGGACATGTTGAATTAGAAGCACCAAAGGACACAATAAGTTATGGAGCAACTATACAATTACAACCTTACTATATACCTGGTTTCAATGATAAAAATGCAGTACCACCGGCGCTTTCTATTATTATAAACGAACGTGTGGTACGTTCTAGTCCAACAATAAACGAATTCTGTGAAGTAACAATAGCACCGTCCCCTAAGCCATATGTGCGTAACTCATTTCGTATTGTTCCAGCTGACAATTTCACTACCAATAGTGATCTTTTGCATTACGGTCAGAAGTTTCGATTAGAATGTATTGGTAGCCAAGAGAAATTATACCTATATGCGACCCCAAAAGCTCAGGATCTATCGTTACAAGTGCAAACTAATTACAAATCTTACAAAAGGGGTGAACTTAATATGCCAATTGGAATAGGGCGAGCAAGGGTATGTAAAATAGAACAAAGTTGATATAAATAAAATAATTATATTTTTAAATATTTATATAATATAAATAAAAATACATTTGAAGGATTTTGGTGTAGGTAAGCTAATACCCACTGTTTTCGCCGATTGGCATTGTCGTCATATTATACCTATAGAGAGATTTGAAACAGACGGATTGCCTATTCCAGTAAGTTGAATCATATATCAGTGGGTGTATTATATTCCTATAAGCAATATTGTTTTGCAGAGTAATAGTCCTTTGGTAATCACTCATACAACCACAAATAAAAACTTGGCTGTAGAAAATTGTGTTGTACAAACATTATTTGGACCAGTAAGTAAAAATTATTTAAACAATTTATATAATTTATAATAATGACTAGGTATTTTCTTCTATAATATATTAAATGTTACTAACTTATAAAATTAAATAAGCTAATATATATATTTTTTAGGAATATCTTGTCTCAGTACAAAACTACGCTGATAATTACAAACGTGAAAATTGGCAAAATGCATGGATGATAACTAATGGTTATCGCTTTAGAGCAAAACAATAATCAATGTTATATTAATTATTATATCATTTAGCTTAGTATAAATTTATTGTATTAATTATAAATTAATTATATATGCAGCAAAATTAATATTTTTAATTTGTGGAAATATAAAAACCTATGAGAATAAAATAAATAATATATAATAAAGTAAACTATAATACATTTTTCCAATAATACTTTTTAAATAATTTAAAAAAATATAATATATAATTACTAACGTAATACAGATGTTTAAACTAGTCCAAACTATACAAATATTCACATAATCCGTTATGAATCATATTGTTTATTGTTGTAAGAATCCGAATAGCTTGAAGTATCCAGATACTTGAAATTCTGTGTTTATGTGGTTTTTTCGAATTATCTGTATGAATACTACTACTGCTGTCCTTTAATTCTAGTAGAGCATAGGGTCTCAACAATTCTTCTAAATCTTATTTTGTTGCCTGCTTCTCTCGTTATTTGATCCCAGGAGTGCTGTGTGTCTTTAAGCTCCTGGTCCACTGTTCTTCGTCATGTCTAAGCCGAGGCTCCAGGGGGGACGTAGATCTTGTTTTATTATACAGAATGCTGCTTTTCTAAGCAAGTGGCGAAATCACTTCTATTTTCTTCTTTTGATATCATTGGCAGCTTATATTTGTTTTGTGCGTTCCTATAGATCGCTATTGGATATGCTCTCCGTTCACGATATTTACAGTATTTTTCTTAAGCATTTGTTTATGAATACTTGGATGCGCGATTGAAAAAAAGTCGTGTTTTCCATGTAGAATAACGTTGACTTGGCGTTCGATTTACAGATTCAAACCCTAGTAAAGAAGAAAATACTCGATTAAAGGAAAAAAATGTACATGGAGTCAATGTTTCTGTGCACTTTATATACATTTGGAGTCTTCCAGTTATCGATATGTTGTAAGTAAAATTCTCTTACTATTTGCAACCATGTGAGTTTGTGTTAAGGTATTTTTTTATCAATGTTAAACAATGCAACTTCAGATAAGATATGAGTTTCCGTTCCACGGTAAAGAATATGTCATACTATAAGGTAATAGTATTTATTTGTGTGAAACAAAATAATTCAAGTCTTGAGATATAAATGTAGGTCAACAAACTTTGTTTTAATGTATTTAAATATTAACAAAGACTTAAGTTGTTTTAATTTACAACGCTAAGACTAGAAAAGCATAAATGTTTAAAATAATATTCAAATAATAAAATGTACAAAAATATAAAATTCAATGCACATTATTTCTCATATGAATACATATATATGTATAATTAATCATCTCTTGATTTAGAACTACTTATGTAGGTATGTTTCTTTAGATCTAATATAACAGATAAAAAATACTTGGTTTGACATATAGGAACATGTTATTTTTAATTGCATCATTTTGAGTTCTTTCAACTCACTCTTAATTCTAATATAATCATTCTACCGTTTTTATATAACATCTGAAAATCTCTCTCTCTCTCTCTTACTCTTTCTTCCAAATCAATTTGCCAATGCCTACAAAATAAACCTCTGTTCTGCCAATAACTTACTTATTTGTGCTAAAAAATTTTATTCCAAAAGCATTGCTTTTAGGTTTGTGGTTAGTTGATGAAGATTAGATATTCAAAATATTTTTTTAGGTAGGTATTTAAATGCTCATTAATTTGTATAGTTCGACAATTGGTACCATCAATTTGTGATATGATGCATCATCTTAAAGAAGAAAGAAGGATCATTTCTTTTTCACTGAGGACCATTTCCTTGTGAATTTATACATTAGCCATACTTATTTCTCTTATTGATGTTCAATGAGTGGAATGTCAATTAGTATTTGGTAAAGAGAGAGGAAGCAATATTTAGTTTCTTCTTCTTCATTCCATTGCGTTCCTAGGGGAACATTGGGCCATAAGTGGTTACAGTGGTATCTAACGAAGAGATTGTGTTTAAACGTGAGTTTCGCACCTCCAAACTCGTTGTGCGTGCTGTCGAAGCAGGTGGATTCGCAGTATATGTACGGGTAGCATTTGGAGACTGTAATTCCATACAGTTGAAACTCATGTTATATTTCCGGAAAACAGTTAATGAAGGGAGCAAAGCGATTAGCTTAGTTTAGCTCTTCGACTTTACCGACAAGAGTGGGTAGCATGCTACCGCCGCCATCGC